TGGGGATTCGGGTAACGGCTCAACTGAACTGAGCTGGCGGTGAGTGTGAGAGACCAGGAAAGCCAATGGCATCGCAGGGGGGAAGTCATCGATTGGAAGCATCAAAGGCATCTTCACCTGTAATACAGAGACATGCTTTAGAAGGAGGAACGCTGAGACCCAAACTGTGCTCACCGTCAGCCCACCCCCACAAAATGTGGAAGCCAAACACCGCTCCAAGAAATGGCTTCAGAGTAAGGTTAGGAGTATTTAACAGGAAAGGTGTTAGGGTTAGGTACATTAGGATTAGGGTTAGAGTGACCGTTAGGGAAGGCCGAGGCAAAGGCATGAGCAAAAGGCAAGGAGAACAGCCAAGGGAACGCCAAAACAGAGGGCAAAGGCAAAGGGATGGGAAAGGCTTGGAGAATGCCAAAGGCCTCATCAGAGGTCAGGCCCAAGGAGAAGGCCGCAGAGAACACCAGAACAGAGACCAAAGAGATCAACGCAGAAGGCCAAAATGGAGGGCGAGGTCCGTGAGAACGCTGCAGGGAAGGCCGATGCAGAAGGTCAAGGGCAATGGCCAAAGAGAACACGGCACAGAAGGCCAAAACCAAAGGCAAAGAGAATGCTGTAGGAGAAGACAAAACAAGAGGCCAAAGGGAATGTGGCAAAGAAGGCCGGGAGCAATGGGCAAAGAAGGCCGGGAGCAATGGGCAAAGAGAACGTGGAAGGGGACGCCAAAACCGAAGCCAAAGAGAATGCTGCAGGGAACGCCAGAACAGGAGGCCAAAGGGAATGTGGCAAAGATGGCCAAGGGCAATGGCCAAAGAGAACGCAGCCACAAACGCCAGAACTGAAGGCCAAAATAGTGTTGTAAGGGAACGCCAGAACGGGAGGCAAAGGGAACGTGGCAAAGAAGGCCAATGACAAAGGCCAAGGGAATGTGGCACACATGGCCAAAACCGAAGGCCAAAGAGAACGCAGCAAAGGTGGCCAAGGGCAAATGGCCAAGAGAATGCCACAGGGAACGCCAAAACAGGAGGGCAAGAGAACGCAGTAGGGAACAGCGAGGGCAAGGAGAACACAGCAGGGAAAGGCTGGAGGTGAGGAGAACACAGAAAGAAAAGGACAGGCGGCATTCAGGGCACCATGAAGCGCAGAAATGAGCTCTGGGAACCCTACCTTGTGCCTCAGTAAGTAATGAGTAAACATTGGTGGGTGAGCATTGCCCTTACCTGCTGGGCAGACAATTACCGGCCAGCAAAGCGAGGTTTCAGGGCGTTCCAGGAAATGCAGATTCCAGTTTCTGCTGCTGCCGTGAAGAGCCGCGCATCTCCGTGCTGTCCTTAAAGTGCTCAGGAGCAACGCAGCTCTGCTGCCACCTGTGGGACACAACGCAGTAATGAAGGCGCTGCCCTGCATGTGTGGGGCTGCACCCTGAGCACATTGCTGTAATGATGACACAAGGGTTGTAATTAATTATAATTATAATTAACGTTAGGGATATAATTAATGTTATTCATAGGGTTGAAGTTACAGTTGGTCTAACATCAGTATTCTGCACTACAATCACAATTAAGGTTATTTGACAAAAAACATGAGGCATTATTTTTAAGGCAGCATTCAGGTTAAGAGACATTTTCAACACTGCGTTAAGGGTTTGGTTTACAGATACGCTGCAGGTTAACACAATTATTGTTAGAACTCCCATTCAGCTATGGGTTCAGGTCAAGGTTAACTTGAATGTTGCCTCCCAGCTAATCCCAGAGTGCCGAAGGCAAGCAGAACTCCCAGGGCAGGCAAAGGGAAGGAGAACTCTCATGGAAAACCAAGGTAAATGCGAAGAAAACAGCCAAGCTAAGGCAAGGGCAAAAGCAAAGAGAGCACCAATGGAAAGCCAAGGTGAGGGCAAGGAGAACGCAACAGGAAAGGTCAGAATACAGCCAAAGAGACCACAGCAGGAAAGGCCAAGGGCAAAGGCCAAGAGAATGCAGCACAAAATGCCAAAACAAAAGGACAAGGGAACACGACATGGAATGCCCAGGCAAGGGCTAAGAAAACATGGCAGGAAAAGCCAAAATAGGAGGCCAAAAAGAACGCGGCAAAGAAGGCCAATGCAGAATGTGGCTGGAACAGCAAGTTAGGAGGTCAAAGAGAACGCTGCAGGGAATGCCCAGGCAAGGGCCAAGACAACGTGGCAGGAAATGCCAAAACAGGAGGCCAAAGAGAATGCTGCCGGGTACGCCAAAACTGAATGCTGAAGAGGATGTGGCAACAGAAAGCCAAGGGCAATGGCCAAGAGATGTGGCATAGAACACAAAAACAGGAGGGCAAGGGCCAAGAGAACGTGGAAGGAAATGCCCAGGATGATGGCCAAGAGAACACGGCAAGAAACGCCAAAACAGGAGGGCAGGAGAACGCAGCAGGGAATGCCAAAACTGAATGCCGAAGTGAATGTGGTAAAGAAAGCCAAGGGCAATGGCCAAGAGAACCCAGCATGGAACACAAAAACAGGAGGGCAAGAGAATGCCCAGCCAATGGCAACAGCTAAGAGAACATGGAAGGAAATGCCAAAACAGGAGGGCGAGAGAACGCAGTACGGAACGCCAAAACCGAATGCTGAAGTGAATGCAGCAAAGAAAGCCAAGGGCAACGGCCAAATGAACGTGGCACGGAACACAAAAACAGGAGGGCAAGACAATGCAGTAGGGAACAGCAAGGGCAAAGGGAAGGAAAACACTGCAGTGAAAGGCCAGAGACAAAGAGAACACAGAAAGAAAAGGACAGGCAGCCTTCCAGGCACCATAAAGTGCAATGAAGAGCTCTGGGAGCACCGTGTTGTGCCGTGCTATGGAGTGGATAAACACTGATGGGTGTGCATTGCCCTTACCTGCTGGGCAGACAGTTACCAGCCAGCAAAGCGGGGTTCCGGGGCATTCCAGGAAATGCAGATTCTGGTTCCTTGCTGTTCCCACGAAGAGCCACGCATCTCCATGCGGTCGTTACGGCACTCGGGAGTGCTGCAACTCCGCTGCCACCTGTGGGACACAAAACAGTAATCAAGTCACTGCCCTGCAGATGTGCCTCTTTCACAAACCTGCACTCCTTTCCCTGATCAATGTGGCTGCACTCTGTGCGTGATGCTGCTTACCAGCAGCACTGCAGCTGGGAACAACAGACAAGAAGGCTCAGGTACCCAACAACATCCATCTTCCATCTTCTCTGATAACTGCTCATTATACACTGCTCTCACCTTCGGTTTGGTAGGTGGGGATTGAGGAAGCAATGCTGGTCCCACAGACCCCTCCCTATCCCACACTGTGATGGGAGATCGGGTTCTGGACCACCTGAGAACCCGAGCATCCAGGAGTCTTTGGGTCCTGATGAGACGAGTCCCAGAGCCCTGAGGGA